GTAGTATTTTGTGTGTCCTTCTGAATGGCTTAAGAGAAACTCCTTCTGGTAAAGGTTCCTGTCAAGAGGAACATGTATCAATGTTCCTCCACCTCTTTCCTGTCAAAAATTTGGTAAACCAAGTGGGATAAGTTAATAATAGAATCTGAGTGAGTGAGAGAGTATCTGAGTGCGATTGACGCTGTCGATGAGTCCGCAACGGCGCCGTCTGTCTAGGGCCATGGTGCAGGGTCCACTTAAGTTTTTGCCGACTGGACAAAAGTCTTTTGACATTGTTGGAGAAGGGGATGGAGTACGTATTTTCGAAAATGGGAAGGGAACAAGGAAATCGATTCTCTATCAAAAGGAGGAGGCGGAATGGTTACGGGGAAGCTTTAGGCAGTTTTGGTGGGAGAAAGAAGAGGACGGCTGGGGAAGATACTGGTGGAAAAGGAACCATACTCTCTGATGGCTTTAAGCATGGTGCAGGGAGAGAATTTCTTGGTTCTATCTGAGAGCTTTGCTGGAGGAAAAGAGGGTATCGAACAAATCTATATCCTGGAGGGAGAGAAGGCTGACGGGTGGTGAAGATTCATGGAGGCAATTTATGAGGTCCAAGGGGCCGATTTGCTAGAACCAGATTGGTTGAAGGGGAGAGAGAAGATGGAAATAGTGCAGGTGAGTGGGGATGATCAGGTATGAAGCTCTGTGTCGGGGACATTCTCAGTTAGCTGTCCTTGTTGTTGTGAGGAGATAGAGGTTAGGGTGAGCGGAAAGGAGAAGGTGACGGCGGTGTCGCTGTCAAAGATTTGCTTTTATGATTCCACTTGGTGTAATCTTGACCTCAAGTTTTGAAGTAGTGGAGCATCAATATAGGAAAGGCTTGTATATGCTCATCAAAATCTTCAAAAATTTGAGACTTTTGGTAATCTCCAAAAAAATTGGAAGTTAATTAAAATCATAGATTCCTTGGGATCATAAAAGCAATGGGATAAAATAAAATTATCCAAAGAAATTTCTTCAATACAGTCGTTATGGATGGAAACAACTTCAATAGCAGGAGATGAAATAAGATTGTTGAAAGGAGGGAGTTCCTTGACATCATCATGAACAGAAGCAACTTCAATTGGAGCCAATATCTCTTGAACTGCTGCTGGTGGTTTAAGTGGAACATCAAGTTTTTCATCTCCTAGCGCATGAGAAGTGTTAATCTACTATTAAGCTCAGTCTTTAATTCTTGCAGAAAATCTCATGCTTTCCTTGCTTTTAAGTCTATTTCGTAGTCAATATTTAACTGACAGCAGTTATCAATATAGACAACAGCCGTTGAGAGAGATTTTAACATGGACAACATTTTGGGTGCATTGACATTGGATGCAAATTAATTGTGGATGTATCTAAATACTCTCCATGCATCCATAAACCACCAGCAGCAGTTCAAGAGATATTGGCGTATTCAATATTGAACTGACAGCAGTTATCAATATAGACAACAGCCGTTGAGAGAGATTTTAACATGGACAACATTTTGGGTGCATTGACATTGGATGCAAATTAATTGTGGATGTATCTAAATACTCTCCATGCATCCATAATGACCAAAACCTTGACATAACACATGTATGTAATTGGGTAGATTTTATGGTGAACTTTAAAAGAAGTTTATTTAACTTTATGTCGAGTTAAAGCTGATCTACTCTAAAAGTGATTGTAAGGTGCACATTATGGCCAATCTGATGTGGTGGAAAATTTTGAAAGTTTTTTTTTTTCCAATGAAAAAGAAGTGGTGGAAGATAAGAATAGAAGTTAGGTGATGGTGCCAACTGATGTGGGACAAGTAATGGTAGAACAAGAACTATACTACAAAATACAAAAATAGAAGAAAATATGATGAAGAAAATAGAAGAAGAAAGATAGTCTAGAGTAAAATAGGGATAAATGTGAAGAAATATAGGAAGAAGTAGAATGAATAGGATAGATCATAGAGAGTAACAACCAAAAGAACAAACAAAAGGAGAGTTGATAGAGAATAAAACCCCAATGAAGGAATTTTTAATTTATCATCTTCTTCCCTTCTTTGGTGGTGGGTACTAGTCTTTATATAGGCATTAGTTACAATGATTAGGAAAAATTATGAAAGAGGAAAATTTAAAAGTTTTAATTTCTGTAATATTTAAAATTCATCTAAAAGGACACTAAAAAATATTGTTATACCTCAATCAATAAGTATAAGTCTAAAAGAGAAAATCTAAGAGATTCTAACTCCTTTACTGTTTAAAATGTACCTGAAAGGAAACTAAAATATTCTAATGTTAAAATAAACCTAAATAACATAAAAAACAAAATAATAATAATTACGGAAAGATTTCTTTAAGAGAAAATTCTTTCCAGAATAAGATATTTTTGTTCTGCATTACCTCCATTGCTGGATCAGAGGGGAATTTGTCTTCATCTTGTCAAAGGCAAGGTAACAAGTTTTATACATGCACCCATGAAGAAAGTGGTATGTGGTGAAAGCCTACAAAATGCCTACTTATGGTTTTATAGCAACAGTAAGGCTGCATGTAGAAGATGAAAGCAGTTTTACTGTTGGTCAAAGAATTTAAAGAGAGCTTTGACTGAATTCAGTTGTAAGAAAGCAATATAGCATGAATAATCTAACAACATCAATCAACATTGTTCTTGAATTACAACCCAGCTTTTGTGGAAGTACTTGTATTTATAATTTTTTGTAATTTATAATATTCTAATTTATAGTGGAATATCTATACTCTAAGCCATTGTTTGAACATTTGAATTTATGTTTTCATCAATGATATACTATCAAGAGCTTCACTTTTTTCTATACGTCCAAGTCGTATCTTTTCTATTTGTTAAATCTAGTCGTCATGACAACATGTATTTATCAAGATTATGCTAGGTCGTTTTTCATCTTTGGGATGATCTCAGGGTATTGCATCTAAACTTTGACATTAAATATTTATGTGTGCAGATTATAAACTGGAAAGTTCATTTGAAATTCCCTGAAGAAGCAAAACTCTCTGTTGAGGCTAAAGATCTCATTCGTAAACTCCTTTGTAATGTTGAAAGGAGGCTTGGAACCAGAGGAGCTCATGAAATCAAAGTTAGAATTTTCTCTATCCTTTCTTCTCATTCGGTGTTAAGTAAATGAGTGATATGCGTTTCTCATTAAATATTGCAAAATGAGTGGTTTTCTGAATTGGATGGCTGACTTTATTCCTTGACCAGGCTCATCCATGGTTTGAGGGCAGTGAATGGGACAGATTGTATCAGATGGAAGCTGCTTTTATACCGGAAGTCACTGATGAGTTGGATACACAGAACTTCGAAAAATTTGAAGAGGTGAGAATTGACTATTGTTTTCATTTGTTTCTTCTTTTAGGGATAAAGAACTGTTTTCATCATGTTGCGTGTTCTTATTAGTGTTATTGTTTGTCAGATGTTAATGAAAATTGTTCATTGCTAATACCCTTCTGCACCGAATGGCTTAATATTTTCTTGTCATTTCCAAAGTGTATTATATTCTGTAATTGCACTTAGTTTTGCCATGACCATGAAGAAGTGGGAAAGTAGATGGTAATGAAGCAAGGTTTTAATAGAACAGACTGCTTTCGTCGTGCATGCTCTGTTTTGAGGTGTGAGGATGCCCCCTGTACTTTAACTTTCATCATGCATGCTCTTTTTTGTGCGTGAGGACACTTTGTCTAGGTGGTTAGAACTTTGATTAGGAAGTTAGTAAGGACTTCGGTGAAAGGATTTGAATTTTTTCGTTACAGAATTAGATTAGGAATGCACATGAAAAAGTGAGGAAGCTGTGGTGGCTTGCATGTAGATATCTGCAACTTAAGCAATAGAAATTAGGAAATCATTTATCAAATAATGAGTTCACATTATTTTACTCTTAGAGCTGGAATGGTTTTTTTCCTAATGAACCCTAAGTCAAGGTAGGTTCTGAAGAAAGGAAATAAGTGAAATAGGCTTCTTCCTTGCTTCATGATTTCCATTTGAGCCAACCTGTAACCCGATCCTGATAATGGGACATGACACCCTTGTTCTTCATCCCCCAAGAGAGACTAAAGAAATATTTTTTGTTCTGTTACATATTTTTTGTGCCTGCAAAGCTGTTTGGTTCCAATATTGAGGTGCTGGTCTTTAATATAATAATCCTCTTAGGGTCTATTAAGCTCAGTTTTAGAGGCAAGTATTATCGTTCTTATACAATTTTACGCCGGAATCTGAATCACCAAAATTTTAGGTGGATTTTGCATGTTTTTATGGAACTATATAATACCTTTTCTTTTCTCCTTTCAAACAAACAGTATATATATTAATTCTTTGTATGCAGATGGGGGCTCCTGTTAAAACCTCATCAAAATCCGGCCCATGGAGAAAGGTGAGTTTCTTTATAGTGTCCAACTATTTAACACATATTTACTGTTTGTTGCAGAACTACTTTTTTTATGTAGCATATCACTAATCTCTTTTGTACTGATCTAACTTTTCGAAGCAAAGTTGGGCACAGTGAAGGCATGTTGTATCATAAGTTCTAGAATAAATTCTTGGGCTGGAGAAAAGATTAAGATTTTTGCCTTAAGGTTATGTCTGAAACAAATCTTAAATTTGTGGAATTCATTTGTAAATCAATATTTATGGACCAATCTATTTCAAATTTCATCAATTTTAATAGGATGTGGAACACAGTGTTCAAAGTGAAAGTAAAATTTCATATATGCTCTTTTTTTGTTTTTCTCATTGTAGTACAATTTACAAAATCTCCTAGTTACTGCTCATTTCTTGTTTCATCATAGTAGAATTTACATATTCCCCTAATTATCCTAAATGTAGATTTGGAGATGAATTCTATATTATTTTTGGATTTTTTTCCAAAGGTAGCTCTAAAGTCATATTCAAGTGAAAAGATAGTTAATTTTGCTCATAGTTTGTAGTCTCAGTTATCCTATAATCATAATAACATTTTCAATAAATTTAATGTGCGTTTGGCTGCACTGTTTCCACAACTTGGAACTGAAATCAAGCCTTGAGTTCCTTTAATATGTGTAGCCCTAATTCTTTCTCTAATTTATTTGTCTGCAGCTGGGGACTTTAATGATGGATTAACTCATCATTTTTTTCAATGCAGATGATTTCTTCCAAGGACACGAATTTTGTTGGCTATACATATAAGAATTTTGAGATTGTCAACGAACATCATGCGTCTGGCATAGGTCAGTTTGCAATTGTTTATTTTAATGATGAAGAGATGCATGCAGTAATCCTTACAATGGCAACTGATAATTGCATAGAGATATACTTATTCTGCCCCATTTTGATAGTATATTGAAAATCCAACTTTTTGAAGGAACATCAATCATAGCATTCACATGGGAGTGAAATGCAGAACTTTCCCTTCACATTTTAGCCTATACAGTGAGAAATGTCTTAAGTGTAAAGATTTTTGACATCGGAGTTTGTAGAAAGATTTTTGCAACAGTTTCTATATGTTTTAGCAAATTTTAATACAAATAAAGGCAAAAGGTGTTATTTTGCTTTAACATCCCCCCAAATACAAATATGCTTTTGACTTTTCAATATTTGTAAGCCTTTAGGAGATTCCAGACTAAATAGATGGATGATCAAAATAGAACGGAGGGAAAATTTTATTGAAAAGTTTTGTTCCGATATTATTGTTCTTATACTGTTGTTTCATTTATTACGGATCCCTTTAGATGATATTTTATTCCAGTACATTTATTGCTATCCCAACATTGAAGACATAATGTAACTGTTAGTTTGTTCTTCAATAAAGACAGCCTTTGCATCCTGGCATCCTACTGACCCTATTGCCAATTTTGTTCGTTTTAATTTTGTACATCTTATGTTCTCTAGTATCTGTATAATAGACAACAGATTCCCTTAAGTCATTTAAATTTTTTGTTTACTTATCTTCTTGAGAGGAAGAATATTTCCTTATGACTCATTTATGGAAAGGAGCATGGTTGTAATATTTCGAAAAAGAGTTATTAAGTGACCTCTTTGTAATCTAAAGTACAGATAATAAAATGTTTCTCCACTCAAAGAACCAAAAGACAGTTGTATCTTATATACATTTGTAATTTCTTAAAAATAATTACTAATAGATATATTTTTAGAGAAAATTTGTTTTGTGCCGAGGAGCCATGTTCATTACTGAAAAAACCACATAAAGTGTAAAAATTTATCATTGAATCATATGGCCCATTATTTTCCCTATATTAGACGTACCAAATTCCTATAGCATTATTTATTCTCTTGGGAGTATCTATTGATGCTTTTTTCAGATTAAAATGTTATCGATGAATATTTATGGAACTACATGTTTATTTGATATTAGTAGAGTGTCTTAAGGCACAAAAGGGAGGAGAAACAATGAGTCTAGCAGTAGCCAGATACGCCATTCTCGTTAAACACGTTTTCTGAACATTTTGTTTTTTTACTGGATAACAGCTGAATTGAAGAAAAAGACCAAGACTCCAAAGAAACCAACTATCAAGTCGTTGTTTGGTAAGAGAAAACATTTCATAGTCACTGGTTTGTGTACCATATGTTATCAATTTTAAATTTTTGTTTGGTTTGATTCTGAATCGATTCTCATATCTGTCAGTTTTTGCTTTCAGATATGCCTGATATCCCAGATGATCCAGCTGAAGAGAGCCCTGGATCATTGCCTCAAAGCACTACACATAAACAGAACATTCTTCGTAGATACCACAAATAGTGTAAGTGATTCCACAGCTCCTGCAAACAGTTGGAAAATTGAAATATTTCTAAAAACATATATATTTTTTTCCAGATAAATACAGTAATTTTCCGGCAAAAAAAAAAAAGGAGAATGTGAAGCTGAAAGTCTTGCTACAGAACCGTAAAGAATTACAGCTCGTGCCTGAGAACTTGAGCGAGTAATTGCGAAATCTTGGATTGCATAGAATTTGCCGGACTAACTCCAATCTCTAAAAGTACGAAGGCTACAGATTGATGACTTCGCTGCCGAAAGTTTGATCTGTACGCACTTACGCGGTAAAGTATCGTTTAAAAATTCTCGTCAAGATGCTGTAAAGCTATACTTTGAGGTCATTCTGCTAACCCCCCTATGGATTCTCCTTTTGGTATAGTCCATTGAAAGCATACTCCATACTTCAATGTTCTTGGTTGGTGGTCTGATTAGTTAATCAAGAGTAGTAGCTAACCGCCCAATAAAGCTGCATATTCAGGAATTGTAGAAACCAATCTAACTTTATATACCATTCGTATCATAAATTCATTTGTTCTGTCTGTAATGGTGCTTTAAATTCATTGGAAAAGTTCTTGAAAAAATAATCTTTTGTTACTAAGAATTTTATGGGTCTCGTACATACATGCACATATGTATTGGGTCATTACAGTATGGAGTGGGTATATATACATATATATATATGTATATGTATATGTATATTATTTTCTCTTATAATTTTGATTAGCATTCACATTATATTTTGGTTTGTGCATTGTATTTGTAAAAGAAATAATAAGAAAGAAAGAAAGCAAAGCAAAGCAAAGCACACGTGCAAACAATTTTGAAAGGACAATGATTTATTGGATTATGTGGTTAGATGAAAACAAATGATTTGAAGGGACAAGCACCACCAACGGGCGCACGGTATGTGGAGTGAGGTCAAACACCACTTTCAACAGTACACACAGATATAATATATATATATATATATATATATATATATATACACTGCATGGTTATTTACTCTTTTATCTTTTGGTGTGAATATTTACTATTTCATATAAATATTAAATTGGTTTATGCAATATTTTTCTAATATTAATCTTTTTGTCCTTTAAATTCTTTTATTTTCCAAAAATATGTATTAAGTTTTAGTAGAGTTGTCGAGTAACGACAAATTGAACACGTAAAAACATTTTTGGTCGTGTAAGTTTTTATATTAAATGTTATGTATTATCTGACGTGTAAAAAATATTTTTAAATATTAAAAATATAAAATTATAATGGTAGATTTTTTTCTAGACACCAAACAGAAAGATAACGTCTGATATAAAAATTTATTCGTGTATACAATTTTGTTGTTAATATGACAAATTTACTAACGATACTAAATACGTTTAATAAATAAGAACTAATATACAATTAAAAGTAGTCGTATATTCAATTTATTATCACGTAATAAATTTACTAATAATACCATATACACGTAATAGATGAAAAGTAACACGTATATTTTCTAAAAGAAGACAAATCAAAGAAACAAAAAATTAGTACATGAATAAATTCGAATATTTACGAATAGCGTAAATAGCTAATTTCGTATTTAGAACTTCAATATCTTCATTGTTCTATGAAGTTAGAGTTCAATTCTTATACTTTGCATCCTTTTATCATATCATATGATAGTGGAGGGACAAACAAAACCCTCTTTTTCTTTTTGTTATTTTTATATTTTGCATGGACCCAAAATAAAAATACTCCCTTCCATTCAAGCTTTGAAAGAGACTCAAAAGAATATCTCCTTTTCATGGACATGGTGGGAGATCTTCAACCTTTTCTAATTTCACACAAGAAAAAAAAAAAGAGAGTAGGCTCTAGAGTTCTACGCTCCTTCTTCCTTTCTCATTTCTATCAGTTACGCTGCCTGCTTTTTGACCCGTTTTCATTTCTTGATCTCACGTAAGATTTAATAGTCACGATAACGTCAATTATATTTAAACAGGATTAAGTTTTCGTTGGGTAATTATCGATTGATATTTTTAACAAATAGTCGTGAGTTGAATAACACGAAAGATATAATTCATTGTTTTGGGAGTCTATCTCAAAAGTTATTG